TGTGCCACCAAGCCCAGCTTGTTCAGTTGTTTTTAATTATTACATACATTATGTTGTTATAATACTAGTTTCTTAATATCTCCACTTATAAGATAATTCTTACAAAAATTTTATATGTGAAGAGCTAATGGTTATATGGCAAATTTTAAGCAATGAGATTCATGTGCCTGATCTTAGTTTATCTCCTTATGCCTTAAGAAAGTAGGGGTTCTTGTTATTCCCATTTTTTTCTTTTTGTTTATTTATTTATATTTAATTTTATTGGTACTTTTTTTTTTCTTTCTTTTTCCGAACAGGGTCTTTCTATGTAGTTCAGCCTGGCCTTGAACTTGCTTATGGAGCCCAGACTGGCCTCAAACTCCTGGTGACCCTCCTGCCTCAGCCTCTGGGTGCTTGGGTTACAGGCCTGTGGCACCATGCACAATTGTCCCCATTTTAAAATGGGAAGAGAGACTTGGAGTGTTCAGGCCACACCCTAGAATGAGCCAGGCCCCAAGTGTTGTCTGGTGCCACTTTGGTTTAGCTGAGGATCCACTCCAGCTGGCCTGTGGCCTCTCCGCCTCTCTCGTCTCCATGCGTGTCACATGGCAGGCCAGGGATGGCAGGACCCTGCTTGGGTTCTGGCTGCTCCTGATCAGCGCAGCAGTGTGCGGTGCCAGTCCGTTCGTCATCACAGCCAAAGCAAGCCAGAGGGGCAGAAGTTCTGCCTCCGTGGGAAGCTTTCTGTGCCCGGCAGACTCCTAGCTCAGCAGCTGGGAACTTACTTTTTTTTAATAGTTTTTGTTTTCCCTAAAGTTCACATATTTATTACCCTGTCTTTCAGATGCTCGTCAGAAACCTGAAGCACCTCAAAAAGAGAAATGTAAAAAGAACAAAGAAAAACACAAGACCAAGAAAGACCACAAACGAAAGAAGGAGAAGGTGAGTAACGTCCACACGGCGTGCGGCCGGGGCGGGCTGGCGCTGCGGCTTCTGGTGTCCCGAGAAGCCCCAGGCGTCCTGGCCAGAGAGGAGCCGGGGCCAGGGTGGGCGGCACGGCCCCGCTGTGCCTTGATGGAGATGCCGGCATCCAGGCCGGCGCTCCGGGTCTCAGAAGCTGCTTTTCTTTCCGAGCGGCATGTTTTCATTTGTGCAGTTGGACTCTAAAATAATTTTGTTGATTTAAAAGTAGGAAAAAAGGGCATAAAGGCATCTTAGAGTAAAAGCTGAGTATTAAGTAATAA